GGAAAAAGAATATTCTCCCCAGGGACATTAGTCAATGTGTAGGGGCATTTTCTGTTGTCCCGGGGGGGAGGGGGCAGTAATGGTAGAGTGTTCTTGGCTTCTGGTGGGCAGACACCAGAAGTGCTACTAAACATCCTACAGTGCACAGGAGAGGCCCCGGGGAAACAGTTATCCAGTTCAAGTGTCAGGAGTGACAAAGTTGAGAGACGTTGCTCTAGTCTAAATTTTAGAGAGATGTTTAGATCATTATAAACCAGGGAATTTGAACACAGATTTGGAGGGGGGAAGAAAAAATCTAGCACTCTTGAATTAGTATCCTCTTTAAAACTGAGAGACATATCCAACAGCATGGCTTAGATATAAGTTGTAAAACATTATGATTTCTATTTCAAAATGGGAGACTAACACACGGAAAAACCTTACTTCTTTGGCAAAATTTTTGCTGTATCATGAATTATTATAGCATTTAGGTGCCTTCCAAAGGGTTCCAAATCCTCTGAGTTTGCCTTGGAAATTTTGCATACAAAAAACTGGACTTACCAAGGAAACCATTAAAGGATAATTTATTCTTTTTATAAAAGTTCTGAAAAAAAAAAAAGTTCTGAACATAGGACCTCATTAAAAAGTCAGTGTTCATAGAGCATTTTAAAGGAAACCTAAATTATCTTGAGAAAGATCTATTCTCTAAAGTGAAATTCATGAATATTTATCCAACATTGATTTCATTGTTTTATGTTTAAGAGATTTATTCAGTGTTAAGAATATAGGAACTTTAAGAAAGCGAAAACTTGTCTTCAGTGGGTTTAAAGCTAAGATGTGTGTATAGATCTCTGTGAGGTGAGGCCATAAGTAAGAAGGGCCTTAGGGGTGGTTGATGTGTTCTGAAAATGCTTTTGAGAGCATCACTTGGGTAGAGAATATTTTGTGGGAAAGGTGAATTCAGGACTGGACCAGAATCAGTAAGAGCAAAATCTAGAAACTAGATAAGTAGTCCGGAGATTATGAATGTGCTAGCTAAGTCGCTTCCCGTCGTGTCAGACTCTTTGCGTCCCTATGGACTGTAGCCTGCTAGGCTCTCTGTCCATGGGATTTCCCAGGCAAGAATACTAGACTAGGTTGCTATTTCCTTCTCCAGGGGATCTTCCCAATCCAGGGATTGAACCCCCTGTCTCTTATGTCTCTTGCATTGGCAGGTGGGTTCTTTACCATTAGCACCATCTCAGAAGGCCCGAGGTTGTGAATAGTTGAGGCAAAACACTGGGTGTCCCCAACAGAGAGCAGATGAACCTGGGGAAGCATCTGCCCTGCCCAGCAGCTCAAGCACTAGACCAGGAGCCAGTCCTAGGATACGGCCCCACCCACTTCTGTAGTGGAAGGGGTTGTGTGGGTGAGTGACTGTGTGCATAATTCTGGGGTTCTGGGAAGATTCTGACACCTTACCGTGAACTTTATTCCACATCTCAACCAAGACTCAGTGGCAAGACCCCTGAGGGTTGAAACCAGGGTAAAGTTTGGATCACACATTTCTACTGGGCAACCCAATCATCTGCAATTTAGAAATAAGACACAATTTTGGGGTCTGGGCCAAAATTTCAGAACAAATTAAAATTAGGCAAAATGTTGGTAGCTTCTCCCATCATCCACTTAATGCATTTTCCTCTCTGACAAGTGTGCCTTTTAAGGTTGTGCTTCATTGTTTAAGTGTCATCATCATAAGTCTATTTTATTGACAGCAAACACCAGCCAAGGCTAATATTTCCCCATGATTTTTTTTTTCTATGCCATCTCTCTATTAGGCTCTTTTCCAGTTATTTGCAATCTTTCAGATACTGTGTGGGTGAGGAAACACTAGTTCTAATAACCTCCGATTCCCATTAAAATGGGAATTTCCCATTGAAATTTCACAGTTAAGTGAAATCTATTGTCAAAATTGTGTATTTTTTTCAGAGTGAGCAAGGCAGATATTTACCTCCTTCCCATAGAAGCTGTATGATTGTCAGCATTTGAATAACAGCTCAGCTCTTTCCCTTTGTTAGGACACATGTTTTACATCTATTAATTATTTCAAGATGATAGTATGAGTAAATTCCCCCATACCTCCAATAAGGTGAGACAGTTCAGAGAACTATTCTTTGTTGTCATATTAGTGCTTTACAATAGAATTTGCAGCAAAAGGCTCCTGCTGGATTTTATTCTTGTTTTCTCCAAGACTAAAAAAGTTACATAAATCTGTATCTTTGAAACCTGCTGGCAGGGTTCTGACACTCATTTGATTTATGGACTCTCAGAAGCATTTGTTTGTTTTAAAACTGGCAAAGGACTTAAGCCAGTCACCTGGAAATTAATAAATACCCCTCTGTATTTCTCCATGACTCTCTGTGAGAACTGGGTCTTTATTTTACCCTCTTAGACGCAGACAAGCCCTTCTGCCTTGCTCTTTGGATTCAAGATGATGCCACAAATAGAGGTTTTCACTGTGCATGTCAATGAAGTACAAACAGCATTTTAGCCACCTGTCCTCCCACCAGTGATTCCTGAGCAAGACTCAGCTCCAGGCAGATAGGAAGGTGAATTATATACTTCAAAGAATGGAGCATTCACTGGGAGAAAGAGACATGCTTGCTAAGGCATTTCACAAAATCATGGTTGACTTTCTTCTTTGGAAGGATTTTGCATCATTTAGAAATAATCAGTAAGGCACAAAGTTCTAGAAACCATGGGATGAAGACCAAAGGGCTTTTCTACAACCTTTTTATTCTCTGTTCAGAATCACATTGACCAAATTTCTGGGGATCCCCATTTGGACTTAGCGCTCTCTGGACAGTTTTCTTTCTTTCAAATATACAAGCATTTGGACTTGGAGTTTTGAAATGTGAGGAAGGAAGAGGCACTGTAATAATTCCCTAGGGTGGAAATGCAAGGCCAAGGGAACGGTCCACAATGATACCTCATTCAGCTGAATTCACTGGAAGGTACCCTGCTATACACTGACAGGTGACATAATTTTTAGATAGAAGTAACTCTTCCAGGAATTTTACCAGCATTACATGCCCATTTGCTGCATCATGCATGCATTTGCCTGTGGGAAAGATGCCAAATATTTTGTGTGTGACTTTCTAAATAGATGATAGCCACAATTGCTAAACCCAGTGTTTTACAAGACAGGTGCAAAAGAGCCCATAATTGCTTGGTGAGTGTCAGGAGATATATTTAGGGTCTTTATAGGGCCACCAAACAGTTGCCTGAAACAATGCCCCTTACAACACCTTTGTTCAAAGGGCATTGCACCCCATTCTCAGCTTGCATGACCCAAATCAATATCTAGATGTTTAGTATTTAGGACAGACACACAGCCTAAACCATGGAGAGCATACCTCAGGAAAAAGTCAAACTTTTGTGATATCTATTTTAGTGCATATACATTCCCAGTTGAAAGGGTTTATCCTAAAGCCTCTGTTGATACCAGCAAAATGTTGGCAAAATTTTAAAAGAAAGAATCCTAGTGAAAATACTTAGAGCACGTAGATTCAAGACCACAGATAGTTTTTAGATGTGTTTCATGTGAATCTAGGGATTCAGAGTAAACAGAACAAATACAAGAACAAGATACAAATAAACAGAACAAATAACCAGAACAAGAACAAATAGAACAAGATACAAAGATTAATTATGAGGAGCCATAAACAAAACCATTTTTATTTTTTGAAACTAAAGATTAGTTATATATATATATATATATATATATATATATATAATTAATTAAAATAGCTAACTATTCAAATTTTTTTTTATGACAAGCCTCTGACAAAATAACTCAAAAATCAGTTTAAAGTGATTGTAATTTCTATTAACAGCACATGTTGATAGATACTATGCCATTGAGTTTGTTGAAGTGTCTGGAACTGTGCATTTTTGAAATATTATTTGATTGTGTTTGTTTTCAGGAAACACAGCTTTTACTTTAGTAAAAAAATATTCATTCATTTCTTAAAATAAGACCATGGTAAGAAGGTTTGTGCCTGGAGATAGTGAGCTGACATAAATCTGTCCTGCTTTCCCATAAACAGCTGTGCCCCCACCCCATACTGGTTATGCCGCATATATCCTTGAAGTCTCGTTTTTCTGCAGATATAAAGTAAGATTTTCTTCCTTGCCCTCATACATCCTACTTATAAAATGTAAAAAACAAACTCCTTCATAATTAGCATACTGCCTGGGTCAAGTATGAGCTATGTGTTCAAGACATGGAGGAATTATTTCCCCTACTTCCTAGTACCCAAACAAAACATATTTGCAGATTCTAATAGCCATGATGAAGTTACAAATACGGCTGTGGTAGTATGTGTGTCCAGGTATGTATCTCATTTTGAATTCTTAGAATCAATTAAGTATACTAGAATGAACACATTGTTTTCATATAGCAGTCACCAAAAGGCATCATGTGTGGCTAAAGTATTGGGAAAGTCAGGGGTTTTTTGTACCTTGTCAGTTATCCAAGTTTCACTCAGTTCCACAGAATATTTGTCATCAGGTAGGAAATATTGAGGCTTTGTCCTAGGCTTGAACAGTGAGGGAAACCCATGTTAAAAGGGAATTTACATGATGAAGTAAATTCCTAAGAGGTTGTGTAGAAAGATCATTCAATCTCCTGTTGAGAATGTATCTATGTTTGGAGAATGAGCAGATATTCTGATTTTCAATTTTTGTCTCAGACATAACCCTGTCACACCCGTCTCCCTAAGTGTACTAGTTAAATTCATTTTGTTTTGAAAAATTACAGGCGTATATAAAGCCACTATATTTTTAAATACATATATATATATATATATATATATATATATAACTTTTCTTGACAAATTCAGAAGTGTAAGAGATGTGACAAGTTTACAATTACATAGTTGATTCCACAGTCCTGCAACTGCATTTTTCCCTATTGTGATTTCACACTTGAGTCCTGTTGACACTAGCCACCAATTCTGTTTTTCTTAAGTCACCAGGGGTTTGGCTTAGAAGGTTGTCCTAACTCAGTCTTCAGGGATCACACAAATTGCATTATTAGAGAAGATGAAAATAATTCAGGTAACAAAAACTTTTTTAGAGATACTCATCCAATGAGTTAAGTATAAATATTTATTCAGTGGTGTGTGTGAAGTGTGAAAGCCACTCAGGCATGTTCAACTCTTTGTGACCCCTTGGATTATACAGTCCATGGAATTCTTCAGGTCACAATACTGGAGTGGGTAGCCTTTCCCTTCTCCAGGGGATCTTCCCAACCCAGCGATTGAACCCAGATCTCCCGCATTGCAGGCAGATTCTTGACCAGCTGAGACACCAGGGAAGCCCAAGAATATGGAGCCTATCCCTTCTCAGGCGGACCTTCCCAACCCAGGAATTAAACCAGAGTATCCTGCATTGCAGGTGGATTCTTTACCAACTGAGCAATCAGGGAAGCCGTTCAGTAGAGTATATTGCAAAAAAAGGTTAAAGGAGAGTTTAAAAAGGCAAATTGTCTTAATGTCCTTCATTAGGACATGTAAGAACTAATGCACATATGAAGAGAAATAGCTGTCAGGTTTGTAAAAACAATTTTTACCTCAATCTCATGTCCACTGAGTTGGTGATGCCAGCAAAACATCCCAACCTCTGTCATCTCTGCTCCTCCTATATTCAATCTTTTCCAGCATCAGGGTCTTTTCTAATGAGTAGGCTCTTCGTATCAGGTAGTCAAAGCATTGGAGCTTCAGCATCAGTCCTTTCAATGAATATTCAGTGTTGATTTCCTTTAGGATTCACTGGTTTGGTCTCCTTGAAGTCCAAGGGACTCTCAAGAGTCTTTTCCAACACCACAGTTCAAAAGCGTCACTTCTTTGGTGGTCAGCCTTCTTTGTGATCCAACTCTTACATCCATACATGACTACGGAAAAAACCAAAGCTTTGACAGATGGACCTTTGTTAGCAAAGTGATATCTCTTCTTTTTAATACACTGTCTAGGTTTGTCATTGCTTTTCTTTCAAGGAGCAAGCATCTTTTAATTTCACAGCTGCAGTCACCATCTGCAGTGACTTTCGAGCCCAAGAAAATAAAATCCCTCACTGTTTCCATTGTTTCTCCATCTATTTGCCATGAAGTGATGGGACTGGGTGTCATGAGCTTCATTTTTGGAATGTTGAGTTTTAAGCCAACTTTCTTACTCTCCATTTTCATCTCCATCAAAAGGCTCTTTAGTTCCTCTTCACTTTCTGCCATAAGGGTGGTGTCATCTGCAAATCTGAGGTTATTGATATTTCTCCCATTAATCTTGATTCCAGCTTGTGCTTCATCCAGCCTGGCATTTCTCATGATGTACTCTGCATATAAGTTAAGTAGGCAGGCTGACAATATACAACCTTGACACACTCCTTTCCCAAATATGTCCATTGTTCCATGGCCAGTTCTACCTTTTGCTTCTTTACCCACATACAGGTTTCTCAGGAAGCAGTTAAGGGGGTCTGGTATTCCCATCTCTTTAAGAATTTTCCACAGTTTGTATGATCCACACAGTCATAGGCTTTAACATAGTCAATGAAGCAGAAGTAGATGTTTTTCTGGAATTCTCTTGCTTTTTCTATGATTCAACGACAGTTGGCAATTTGATACCTCGTTCCTCTGACTTTTGTAAATCCAGCTTGAATATCTGGAATTTCTCCATTCACATACTGTTGAAGACTGGCTTGGATAATTTTGAGTATTTTCTAGCATATGCAATGAATGCAGTTATCCAGTAGTTTGAAAAAATCTTTGGCATTACCCTTCTTTGGGACTGGAATGAAAACTGACCTTTTCCAATCCTGTGGCCACTGCTGAGTTTTCCAAATTTGCTGGCATATTGAGTGCAGCACTTTCATGGCATCATCTTTTAGGATTTAAAATAGCTCAATTGGAATTCCATTGCCTCCACAAGCTTTGTTTATAGTGATGCTTCCTAAGGCCCACTTGACTTTGGACTCCAAGATGTCTGACTCTAGGTGAGTGATCATACTATTGTGGTTATCAGGGTCATTAGGATCTTTTTTTATATAGTTCTTCTGTGTATTCTTGCCACCTCTTCTTAATATCTTCTGCTTCTGTTACATCCATTCCTTTTCTGTCCATTGTGCCACCTTTGTATGAAATGTTCCCTTGGCATCTTTAATTTCCTTGAAGAGATCTCTAGTTTATTGTTTTCTAGATCTCCATTCTATTGTTTACCTGTACTTCTTTGCATTGATCACTTAGGAAGGCTTTCTTATCTCTCCTTGCTATTCTTTGGAACTCTGCGTTCAGATGGGTATATCTTTTCTCCCCGGCCTTTAGCTTCTCTTCCTTTCTTTGCTATTTGTAAGGCCTCCTCAGACAACCATTTTGCCTTTTTTGCATTTCTCTTTCTTGGGGATGGTTTTGACCACTGCCTCCTGTGTAATGTTACAAACCTCCATCGATAGTTCTTCAGGCACTCTATCTGTCAGATGGAATCCCTTGAATCTATTTGTCACTTCTGTAGAATCATAATGGATTTGATTTACATCAAACCTGAATGACCCAGTGGTTTTCCTTAATCTCTTCAATTTAAGCCTGAATTTTGCAATAAGAAGTTCATGATCCAAGCCACAGTCAGCTTCTGGTATTGTTTTTGCTGACTGTATTGAGCTTCTCCGTCTTTGACTGCAAAGGATATAATCAACCTGATTTCGGTATTGACCAGATATCTGCTGATGCCCATGTGTAGTGTCATCTCTTGTGTTGTCAGAAGAGGGTGTTTGCTATGACTAGTGTGTTCTTTTGGCAAAACTGTTAGCCTTTGCCCTGCTTCATTCTGTACTCCAAGGTCAAACGTGCCTGTTACTCCAGTTCTCTCTTGAATTCCTACTTTTGCATTCTAGTCCCCTGTGATGAAAAGAACATCTTTTTTTGGTGTTAGTTCTAGAAGGTCTTATAGGTCTTCATAGAACTGTCAACTTCAGCTTGTTTGGCATTAGTGGTTGGGGCATAGACTTGGATTACATTCTGTCATTTTTGAAATTGCACCCAAGTACTGCATTTCAGACTCTCTTGTTGACTATGAGGGCTGCTCCGTTTTTTCTAAGGGATTCTTACCATCAGACATCAACTAAATAAAGACACTGAAAGATAGAGAGTAAAAGGATGAGAAAATATACAAATACTAACCAAAGCAAAGTTGATAGAGCTAAATAAAACCAAATAAAACAGGCTTTAAGACCAAAGTAACATTCAAAATAAAGAGGGTCACAAGTATATACAATTCCCAATCCAAGAGAATATATATAATTCTGAAGTTATACATAACTAAAACATAGCTTTAAATAAAGAAAAATTACAAGGATAGGTAAATTCACCATCACAGTTAAAGATATATTACATCTATTAATTTCTCATTTAAATTCTTTTTTCTCTGCAATCACCTTCTGTGGTTTTTCAGTCTCTGACTATATTGAGGCTTTCAATGGCTAAGTCAAAGGTCTCTCTTGGTAAATGTTACATTTCACTTGAAAATATGTGGGTTATTTTCAAATATCTTTTGATATTGATTTCTAACATAATTCCACAGTGATAAGAGAACAAACTCTGTATGCTTCCAATAACTTATATCATGGAATTTATGTCCCCTGTTTTGTGTCCCTGGATATATTCCACTGTTCCTAGTTTATAGTCTATGGGAACTTGAGTAGAATTTGTATCTTACTGCTATATGAAAATTGTTATGAAAGTTGTATAAATCTTAATTATGTCGAATAGATTCATAGTGCTTTTCAGGTCTACTATGTCCTTATACTTTTCTGTATTTTCATTCTATTAATTTTTGAGAGTTTGGTATTAGACCTCCAATTAAAAATCTTAATTTGTCTATTTAAAAAATAATTATAATATATAGTGGAACTATAGGTAGCCTTGCTTTGTATTTTCCAAGTCTCCTGTAAATATTATACCACTTCCATAATTTAAAAAATAAAAAGACAAGAGAAAAAATGCCAGAGAAAAACAAATACTCTATGTTGTCACTTATATATGGAATCTAAAGAATACACAAATGAGTGAATATAACAAAACAAAATAAACAAAGATATATCACATCAATTTCAGTAACTGATTTTAAAAGTAGGCCAAGAAATCACTAAAGATGAGGATTTGTACTCAATTAAAAACTTGATCTAATGTGCATATATCAGATTCTGAGCTCTCTATTAGAATATGTTTTCAAGCACACATGGAACATTCCTTTGAAATACATTATGATCTGGACATAAAGCAACTCTTTAATTTCAAAAACCTGTATTATACATGTCCTAATCTCTGACCTCTGACCTCAAGAAAATTAAATTAGATGATAACTACCAAAAGGAGAATTTTTAAAACTCATGTTTAAATTCACATGCTCTAATTATCTATGGGTAAAAGAAACCACACAGAAATTTAAAATACTTAGAATCAAATATGAATGAAAAACTATATATAAACATTTCCAAGATGCAACTGGAGCATACTCATATTAAAAGAATATGTTGTATCATTGTTTTTAAAAGTCCATAACTAGACTGCAGAATCAAGCAGAAGTTATTTTGAAGTGTACGAAGCTAAATTTCAAGCAGATGTAATGTTTCAAAATCTAGAATGATGGAAAATATTAAAACTGACTCATGAAAAATTATTTAACCCATATAGTACGTGACTTTATCAGTTAGGGTTCATTCAGAGAAAAATATAAAATTAATATAGGAACTGTGTAAAGAGACTTGAGGACAACTGAGGTAACAGAGACAGTAACCATAAGCATTATCTGTTACTTATAAGCTGTTGGGGGGAAAGGAAGAAGTGATTGCTCTTGGAATCTAACAGCTTGGAAAAGGGACTTTACGGAGCTGGGACCCAGATCTCTGATTAGAGGGTGCTGAAGAGAGTTCCAGAATAACATCTATTTCTGCTTTATTGACTATGCCAAAGCCTTTGACTGTGTGGATCACAATAAACTGTGGAAAATTCTGAAAGAGATGGGAATACCAGACCACCTGACCTGCCTCTTGAGAAACCT